CGGTCAAGCTTCTCCTTGACGGTCACACTGGACTGTATGTACGGTCAAGCTTCTCCTTGACAGTCACACTTGACTGTATGTACGGTCAAGCTTCTCCTTGACAGTCACACTTGACTGTATGTACGGTCAAGCTACTCCTTGACAGTCACACTTGACTGTATGTACGGTCAAGCTTCTCCTTGACAGTCACACTGGACTGTATGTACGGTCAAGCTACTCCTTGACAGTCACACTTGACTGTATGTACGGTCAAGCTTCTCCTTGACAGTCACACTGGACTGTATGTACGGTCAAGCTACTCCTTGACAGTCACACTTGACTGTATGTACGGTCAAGCTTCTCCTTGACAGTCACACTGGACTGTATGTACGGTCAAGCTACTCCTTGACAGTCACACTGGACTGTATGTACGGTCAAGCTTCTCCTTGACGGTCACACTGGACTGTATATACGGTCAAGCTTCTCATTGACAGTCACACTTGACTGTATGTACGGTCAAGCTACTCCTTGACAGTCACACTTGACTGTATGTACGGTCAAGCTACTCCTTGACAGTCACACTTGACTGTATGTACGGTCAAGCTTCTCCTTGACAGTCACACTTGACTGTATGTACGGTCAAGCTTCTCCTTGACAGTCACACTGGACTGTATGTACGGTCAAGCTACTCCTTGACAGTCACACTGGACTGTATGTACGGTCAAGCTTCTCCTTGACAGTCACACTTGACTGTATGTACGGTCAAGCTTCTCCTTGACAGTCACACTGGACTGTATGTACGGTCAAGCTTCTCCTTGACGGTCACACTGGACTGTATATACGGTCAAGCTTCTCATTGACAGTCACACTTGACTGTATGTACGGTCAAGCTACTCCTTGACAGTCACACTTGACTGTATGTACGGTCAAGCTTCTCCTTGACGGTCACACTTCACTGTATATACGGTCAAGCTTCTCCTTGACGGTCACACTGGGCTGTATATACGGTCAAGCTTCCTGTCAGTCACACTTGACTGTATGTACGGTCAAGCTTCTCCTTGACGGTCACACTGGGCTGTATATACGGTCAAGCTTCCTGTCAGTCACACTTGACTGTATGTACGGTCAAGCTTCTCCTTGACAGTCACACTGGACTGTATATAGCAACATATATAGCAACATTTGGGTAAGTTACTGTGGAAACGTTTCGCCCCACAGTGGCTTCCTCAGTCCAATATAGAGAATAACAGTGTAAGATGAGTTTGAGGTGATCAGTCCCTGAGCCTGGAGTCAGTGTGTTCAGTCCAGCAGTGTTGATAATACTGCAGTATACTGATGGACTGGCACACTGACTCTAGACTCAGGGACTGATTACCTCAAACTTGTAGTCATTTTCTCTGCACTGGACTGAAGACTGGCTGGCAGAACGCTTCCAGAATACATTCCAGATTTTGTGTATGCAGTACCAATGTCATCTGGATTATTCGTTACAAGGAGTGCTGCTGCAGGCTCGATACTCCGTTTGTTGATGGTCTGACATGTACAGTATCTGAACACCCATGATCCTGTCACCTGAACACCCATGATCTTGTCACCTGACCACCCATGATCCTGTCACTTGAACACCCATGATCCTGTCACCTGACCACCCATGATCCTGTCACCTGACCACCCATGATCCTGTCACCTGACCACCCATGATCCTGTCACCTGACCACCCATGATCCTGTCACCTGACCACCCATGATCCTGTCACCTGAACACCCATGATCCTGTCACCTGAACACCCATGACCCTGTCACCTGAACACCCATGATCCTGTCACCTGAACACCCATGATCCTGTCACCTGAACACTCATGATCCTGTCACCTGAACACTCATGATCCTGTCACCTGAACACCCATGATCCTGTCACCTGAACACCCATGATCCTGTCACCTGACCACCCATGACCCTGTCACCTGAACACTCATGATCTTGTCACCTGACCACCCATGATCCTGTCACCTGAACACCCATGATCCTGTCACCTGAACACTCATGATCCTGTCACCTGAACACCCATGATCCTGTCACCTGAACACTCATGATCCTGTCACCTGAACACCCATGATCCTGTCACCTGAACACCCATGATCCTGTCACCTGAACACCCATGACCCTGTCACCTGAACACTCATGATCTTGTCACCTGACCACCCATGATCCTGTCACCTGAACACCCATGATCCTGTCACCTGAACACCCATGATCCTGTCACCTGAACACCCGTCACCCGCTAGTCTCACCTCCTTTGACGGGTGAGTAACAATCCTTGGTGACGGTGACGTAGTGAGGGACAGGCTTCGTCACTGTCGACGTCACGCTCTCTACGTTAGTGACGTACAGTGATGACGTCAGCACCTGTAATTTAATACAGTCAGTGTACTGTAGTTTACATGTATACAAATTTTGTTATTATTGTTGTTATTGGTGGCCCAGGTGCGGAAGTAACGCAAATTCTGGTCAACTTCAAACTTGATGTGCTTGTGTGTTTTAGTATCTGAGATAATGAGAGAAATCCTCTTCTGTTTGGTTTGATTGTTTGTGTTTTTTGGTGGAAGGATAGAATTAGTTTTTAGCTCTGTTTTTCACAATTTGCCATTTTAACAATCTGTCACATTCACAATGTTGTGCAAGAGGTACACACGAGCCTTGTACCATGTGTATTATGGAACGATTCACTGTTTAATGTGGCTGGAACAATTTACTACTAACCTAGAAAAGTGGCTGGAACAACTCGCTAAACTACTACGAAATCGTAATAACAGTTGCAAACAAATCAGGGAATGGGTGGGGTTTGAACTCATGGCAGTGAGCTCCAAAACTCACTGGGCCAGCTGCCTCTAAGATTCATCCAACTAGGTACAGTTCTATACATCATAGGGAGGTTAGCATGGGCCACCACTGTGGCCACAAATACAAGCTTTTACAGAGAAATCCCACACCAGTGGTGGCCCATGCTAACCTTCCAATGATGTATAGAAATATACCTAGTTGAATGAATCTTATTGTAGCCAGCTGGTCCAGTGGTTAACGCACTGGCCTGTGAGATTTAAGACTCACTTGCCATGGGTTCAAACCCCACCCGTTCCCTGGTTTTATTAGGAATTTATTGCTCACAACTGGGAGACTATTAGAGATGTATAGAATGTAAAAATTTAGATATCCGTGGATGTGTATAAGGATGTTGTATTGTGCGGATGTTCGACGGATGCGGATGTAAGAAATTGTGCGGATGTTCGACGGATGCGGATGTAAGAAATTGTGCGGATGTTCGACGGATGCGGATGTAAGAAATTGTGCGGATGTTCGACGGATGCGGATGTAAGAAATTGTGCGGATGTTCGACGGATGCGGATGTAAGAAATTGTGCGGATGTTCGACGGATGCGGATGTAAGAAATTGTGCGGATGTTCGACGGATGCGGATGTAAGAAATTGTGCGGATGTTCGAGCGATGCGGATGTAAGAAATTGTGCGGATGTTCGACGGATGCGGATGTAAGAAATTGTGCGGATGTTCGACGGATGCGGATGTAAGAAATTGTGCGGATGTTCGACGGATGCGGATGTAAGAAATTGTGCGGATGTTCGACGGATGCGGATGTAAGAAATTGTGCGGATGTTCGACGGATGCGGATGTAAGAAATTGTGCGGTGTTCGACGGATGCGGATGTAAGAAATTGTGCGGATGTTCGACGGATGCGGATGTAAGAAATTGTGCGGATGTTCGACGGATGCGGATGTCTGACACATCACTAGAGACTATCACAGTGAGAGATACTGTTACACTGTCACAACTCCAGGTCTTGCATTAAAGGTTTTGCAACCCGTATGTTGATCACTTACACTTGTGCAACACTACTTGGGAATATTGAATGTTGCAAAAGTGTCTAAGTTACATACGCAGTTTGTTTAAGTCACAATATTGTGAAATTGTTGGGCACTCGGCTCATACAGTGAGTATCTGTGGTTCGATCCCCGGTACGGATGGAAACATTGGGACGTGTTCCTTTAAGACACCTGCTGCCACTGTTCACCTAGCAGTAAGTAGGTACCTGGGTGTTAGTAGACTGGTGTGGGTGGCATCCTGGAGACAAAATTAACCTAAGTTGTGGGAAATACTCTACATAACCAGGGAGTTACAGTATGTCACAGGTGTGAGCTATGGTCTGTATAAGTTGTATCATGTACCTGTGGCAATAAAGATTATTATTATTATTATTATTATTATTATTATTATTATTATTATTATTATTATTATTATTATTATTATTATTATTATTATTATTAAGATAAACGAGTGTAGAGTGGCAGCTGGGAATTTCAATGCCTGACAAGACGTGATCCAACAGCTGCAACAATTACCTTTAAGCTGGTTAAGTTATTTAAGCTGGTTAAGTTATTTAAGCTGGTTAAGTTATTTAAGCTGGTTAAGTTATTTAAGCTGGTTAAGTTATTTAAGCTGGTTAAGTTATTTAAGCTGGTTAAGTTATTTAAGCTGGTTAAGTTATTTAAGCTGGTTAAGTTATTTAAACTGGTTAAGTTATTTAAGCTGGTTAAGTTATTTAAGCTGGTTAAGTTATTTAAGCTGGTTAAGTTATTTAAGCTGGTTAAGTTATTTAAGCTGGTTAAGTTATTTAAGCTTGTTTAAGTTATTTAAGCTGGTTAAGTTATTTAAGCTGGTTAAGTTATTTAAGCTGGTAAGTTATTTAAGCTGGTTAAGTAATTTAAGCTGGTTAAGTTATTTAAGCTGGTTAAGTTATTTAAACTGGTTAAGTTATTTAAGCTGGTTAAGTTATTTAAGCTGGTTAAGTTATTTAAGCTGGTTAAGTTATTTAAGCTGGTTAAGTTATTTAAGCTGGTTAAGTTATTTAAGCTGGTTAGTTATTTAAGCGTGTTAAGTTATTTAAGCTGGTTAAGTTATTTAAGCTGGTTAAGTTATTTAAGCTGGTTAAGTTATTTAAGCTGGTTAAGTTATTCTGGTGCTATGTAACTCATCTTATTTCTATAGTTTAATTAAGAATAATAATTAATAATAATTAATAATTAATAATTAATAATTAATAATTAATAATTAATAATAATTAATAATAATTAATAAGACAGTAAAGTAATTTTAGTTAAATAATTATATTAACGGTAATAATAATAGTATAATTCTGTTACTACTAATAACGATAATTATATTGAAATAATTATAGGAAATAATTACCTTGGTCTGGGTAGAGTAGACTACGTCAGTTATACGTTCAGTTTCGGTCTTGTATTCGGTCTGGGTGACGTATGAAGGCTCTACTATGGTGGTAGACACTGTCTTGTAGTCGGTCTGAGTAGAGTAGACGATGTTGGTCTCGTACTCGGTCTGGGTCTTGTACTCGGTCTGGGTCTTGTACTCGGTCTCGTAGTTGGTCTTGTATTCGGTCTGTGTGACGGAGGAGACCTGGACCAGCGTGGTGATGACGGTCTGGGTGTGTAGGTCTGTGCTGGTGACGGTGACGTAGTGTTCCTGGGTGGTTGTGACGTAGGACGGGACCAGTTCGGTCACCACACTCCCAATGATATTCGTGGGACAAACCTGTACCAGGAACAAATATGAACAAAAAATGTAAATGGAATAGCAAGAGGAACACAATGAACAAAGAACGTGTCTGGAACAGTTCATAACGAAGGTACAAATGTCTGGAACAGTTCATAACTATGGTACAAATGTCTGGAACAGTTCATAAATATGGTACAAATGTCTGGAACAGTTCATAACTATGGTACAAATGTGTGGAACACTTCATAACTATGGTACAAATGTCTGGAACAGTTCATAACTATGGTACAAATGTCTGGAACAGTTCATAACTATGGTACAAATGTCTGGAACAGTTCATAACTATGGTACAAATGTCTGGAACAGTTCATAACTATGGTACAAATGTCTGGAACAGTTCATAACTATGGTACAAATGTCTGGAACAGTTCATAATTATGGTACAAATGTCTGGAACAGTTCAGAACTAAGGTACAAATGTCTGGAACAGTTCATAACTATGGTACAAATGTCTGGAACAATTCATAACTATGGTACAAATGTCTGGAACAGTTCATAGCTAAGGAACAAATGTCTGGAACAGTTCATAGCTAAGGTACAAATGTCTGGAACAGTTCAAGACACACAAATGCAAAACGAAGCTTCACGACGTTTCGCACCATCATGAACAATTCTCGTATCACGATCTAAATGTCGTGACGAAGCGACAGAGAAGTCTCTTACTGCTACAACGTTACGCTCTGTGTACCACAAGACTGATTCACCAACACACTGAGCGAAACGATGCCCTAATTAAGTTTTCTTCTCCACTGACCGACTGAAACGTCGGCTATGGGTGGCCCGTGGCCTGGTAGACGACGTTCTCGTTTCACACACCGAGTGTCCGTGGTTCGATCCCCAGCCGGGTGTATACATTGGGCGTGTTTCTTTACCCTGCTGTGGGTGGCATCCTGGGTGTTAGTGGACTGGTGTGGGTGGCATCCTGGGTGTTAGTGGACTGGTGTGGGTGGCATCCTGGGTGTTAGTGGACTGGTGTGGGTGGCATCCTGGGTGTTAGTGGACTGGTGTGGATGGCATCCTGGGTGTTAGTGGACTGGTGTGGGTGGCATCCTAGGTGTTAGTGGACTGGTGTGGGTGGCATCCTGGGTGTTAGTGGACTGGTGTGGGTGGCATCCTAGGTGTTAGTGGACTGGTGTGGGTGGCATCCTGGGTGTTAGTGGACTGGTGTGGGTGGCATCCTGGGTGTTAATGGACTGGTGTGGGTGGCATCCTGGGTGTTAGTGGACTGGTGTGGGTGGCATCCTAGGTGTTAGTGGACTGGTGTGGGTGGCATCCTGGGTGTTAGTGGACTGGTGTGGGTGGCATCCTGGGTGTTAATGGACTGGTGTGAGTGGCATCCTGGGTGTTAGTGGACTTGTGTGGGTGGCATCCTGGGTGTTAGTGGACTGGTGTGGGTGGCATCCTGGGTGCTGGTGGACTGGTTTGGGTGGCATCCTGGGTGCTGGTGGACTGGTGTGGGTGGCACCCTGGGTGTTAGTGGACTGGTGTGGGTGGCATCCTGGGTGTTAGTGGACTGGTGTGGGTGGCATCCTGGGTGTTAGTGGACTGGTGTGGGTGGCATCCTGGGTGTTGGTGGACTGGTGTGGGTGGCATCCTGGGTGTTGGTGGACTGGTGTGGGTGGCATCCTGGGTGTTAGTGGACTGGTGTGGGTGGCATCCTGGGTGTTGGTGGACTGGTGTGGGTGGCATCCTGGGTGTTAGTGGACTGGTGTGGGTGGCATCCTGGGTGTTGGTGGACTGGTGTGGGTGGCATCCTGGGTGTTAGTGGACTGGTGTGGGTGGCATCCTGGGTGTTAGTGGACTGGTGTTGGTGGCATCCTGCTTGTTAGTGGCCTGGTGTGGGTGGCATCCTGGGTGTTAGTTGACTGGTGTGGGTGGCATCCTGGGTGTTGGTGGACTGGTGTGGGTGGCATCCTGGGTGTTGGTGGACTGGTGTGGGTGGCATCCTGGGGGACAAGATTGAGGACCACAATGGAAATAAGACAGAGTCCTGGATAACGCACTGACTGACTTGGCTTATCCCGGGTGGCTAATACTCCTTACCCTGGGTTATCCTGGGTGGCTAACTCTCCCTACCCTGGGTGGCTAACTCTCCCTACCCTGGGTTATCCTGGGTTGCTAACACTCCCTACCCTGGGTTATCCTGGGTGGCTAACACTCCCTACCCTGGGTTATCCTGGGTAGCTAATACTCCCTACCCTGGGTTATCCTGGGTGGCTAACTCTCCCTACCCTGGGTTATCCTGGGTGGCTAACTCTCCCTACCCTGGGTTATCCTGGGTGGCTAATACTCCCAAGCCTTGGTTATCCTGGGTGGCTAACTGTCCCTACCCTGGGTTATCAGGGGTGGCTAACTCTCCCTACCATGGGTTATCCTGGCTAGCTAATACTCCCTACCCTGGGTTACCTGGGTGGCTAATACTCCCTACCCTGGGTTATCCTGGGTGGCTAACTCTCCCTACCCTGGGTTATCCTGGGTAGCTAATACTCCCTACTCTGGGTTATCCTGGGTGGATAACTCTCCCTACCCTGGGTTATCCTGGGTAGCTAACACTCCCTACCCTGGGTTATCCTGGGTGGCTAACACTCTCTACCCTGGGTTATCCTGGGTGGCTAACACTCCCTACCCGGGGTTATCCTGGGTGACTAACTCTCCCTTCCCTGGGTTATCTTGGGTAGCTAACACTCCCTACCCTGGGTTATCCTGAGTGGCTAACTCTCTCTTCCCTGGGTTATCCTGGGTGGCTAACTCTCCCTACCCTGGGTTATCCTGGGTAGCTAATACTCCCTACCCTGGGTTATCCTATGTGGCAAACTCTCCCTACCCTGGGTTATCCTGGGTAGCTAATACTCCCTACCCTAGGTCATCCTGGGTGAATAACACTCCCTTCCCTGGGTTATCCTGGGTAGCTAACACTCCCTACCCTGGGTTATCCTGGGTAGCTAACTCTCCCTACCCTGGGTAGCTAACACTCCCTACCCTGGGTTATCCTGGGTGGCTAACTCTCCCTACCCTGGGTTATCCTGGGAAGCTAATACTCCCTACCCTGGGTTATCCTGGGTGGCTAACTCTCCCTACCCTTGGTTATCCTGGGTGGCTAACTCTCCCTACCCTGGGTTATGCTGGGTGGCTAACACTCCCTACCCTGGGTTATCCTGGGTGGCTAACACTCCCTACCCTGGGCTATCCTGGGTGGCTAACTGTCCCTACCCTGGGTTATCCTGGGTGGCTAACTCTCCCTACCCTGGGTTATCCTGAGTGGCTAACTCTCCCTACCCTGGGTTATCCTGGATGGCTAACTCTCCCTACCCTGGGTTATCCTGGGTGGCTAACACTCCCTACCCTGGGTTATCTTGGGTGGTTAACACTCCCTACCCTGGGTTATGCTGGGTGGTTAACACTCCCTACCCTGGATTATCCTGGGTGGTTAACACTACCTATCCTGGGTTATCCTGGGTGGTTAACACTCCCTACCCTGGGTTATCCTGGGTGGCTAACACTCCCTACCCTGGGTTATCCTGGGTGGTTAACACTCCCCACCCTGGGTTATCCTGGGTGGCTAACACTCACTACCCTGGGTTATCCTGGGTGGCTAACACTCCCTACCCTGGGTTATCCTGGGTGGTTAACACTCCCTACCCTGGGTTATCCTGGGTGGTTAACACTCCCTACCCTGGGTTATCCTGGGTGGCTAACACTCCCTGCCCTGGGTTATCCTGGGTGGTTAACACTCCCTACCCTGGGTTATCCTGGGTGGCTAACACTCCCTACTCTGGGTTATCCTGGGTGGTTAACACTCCCCACCCTGGGTTATCCTGGGTGGCTAACACTCACTACCCTGGGTTATCCTGGGTGGCTAACACTCCCTACCCTGGGTTATCCTGGGTGGTTAACACTCCCTACCCTGGGTTATCCTGGGTGGTAAACACTCCCTACCCTGGGTTATCCTGGGTGGCTAACACTCCCTACCCTGGGTTATCCTGGGTGGTTAACACTCCCTACCCTGGGTTATCCTGGGTGGCTAACACTCCCTACCTTGGGTTATCCTGGGTGGTTAACACTCCCTACCCTGGGTTATCCTGGGTGGTTAACACTCCCTACCCTGGGTTATCCTGGGTGGCTAACACTCCTTACCCTGGGTTATCCTGGGTGGTTAACACTCCCTACCTTGGGTTATCCTGGGTGGTTAACACTCCCTACCCTGGGTTATCCTGGGTGGTTAACACTCCCTACCCTGGGTTATCCTGGTTGGCTAACACTCCCTACCCTGGGTTATACTGGGTGGTTAACACTCCCTACCCTGGGTTATCCTGGGTGGCTAACACTCCCTACCCTGGGTTATCCTGGGTGGTTAACACTCCCTACCCTGGGTTATCCTGGGTGGCTAACACTCTCTACCCTGGGTTATCCTGGGTGGTTAACACTCCCTACCCTGGGTTATCCTGGGTGGTTAACACTCCCTACCCTGGGTAATCCTGGGTGGCTAACACTCCCTACCCTGGGTTATCCTGGGTGGTTAACACTCATTACCCTGGGTTATCCTGGGTGGTTAACACTCCCTAAACTGGGTTATCCTGGGTGGCTAACTCTCCCTACCCTGGGTTATCCTGGGTGGTTAACACTCCCTACCCTTGGTTATCCTGGGTGGTTAACACTCCCTACCCTGGGTTATCCTGGGTGGCTAACACTCCCTACCCTGGGTTATCCTGGGTGGTTAACACTCCCTACCCTGGGTTATCCTGGGTGGTTAACACTCCCTACCCTTGGTTATCCTGGGTGGTTAACACTCCCTACCCTGGGTTATCCTGGGTGCTTAACACTCCCTACCCTGGGTTATCCTGGGTGGTTAACACTCTCTACCCTGGGTTATCCTGGGTGGTTAACACTCCCTACCCTGGGTTATCCTGGGTGGCTAACACTCCCTACCCTGGGTTATCCTGGGTGGTTAACACTCTCTACCTTGGGTTATCCTGGGTGGTTAACACTCTTTTCCCTGGGTTATCCTGGGTGATTAACACTCCCTACCCTGGGTTATCCTGGGTGGCTAACACTCCCTACCCTGGTAGTAGTAGTAGTATCAGTAATAGTAGTAGCAGCAGTGATAGTAATAATAGTAGTAGTAATAGTAGCAGTAGTAGTAGTAATAGCAATAGTAGCAATAACAGTGGCAATAGTAGTAATAGCAATAGTAATGGTAGCAGTAATAATAGTAGTAGTAATAGCAATGATAGTGGTAGCAGCAGTAGTAGTAGTAGTAATAGTAGTAGCAGTAATAATAGTAGTAGTAATAGCAATGATAGTGGTAGCAGCAGTAGTAGTAGTAGTAATAGTAGTAGCAGTAATAATAGTAGTAGTAATAGCAATGATAGTGGTAGCAGCAGTAGTAGTAGTAGTAATAGTAGTAGCAGTAATAACAGGAGTAGTAATAGTAGTAGCAGTAATAATAGGAGTAGTAATAGTAGTAGCAGTAATAACAGGAGTAGTAATAGTAGTAGCAGTAATAACAGGAGTAGTAATAGTAGTAGCAGTAATAACAGGAGTAGTAATAGTAGTAGCAGTAATAATAGGAGTAGTAATAGTAGTAGCAGTAATAACAGGAGTAGTAATAGTAGTAGCAGTAATAACAGGAGTAGTAATAGTAGTAGCAGTAATAATAGGAGTAGATTCTGACCAAGCACATGTTGACTAGATAATACTTGGATCATCTAGGATCATCCAGGATCATCTAGGATCATCCAGGATCATCTAGGATCATCCAGGATCATCTAGGATCATCCAGGATCATCTAGGATCATCCAGGATCATCTAGGATCATCCAGGATCATCTAGGATCAACATGAACTAACACCCTTCACTGGTATTCCCACAACACCGACTCACACCTCAACAACACCAAGATGACTCTGTAAGCTCACCTTTGTTTCTTCTTGCCAAGGTTCCTCAGGAAAGGTGAGTACAGATTTCTTCTGCTGCTGCTGCTGTTGGTCCACTGGCACCTTTTGAACACCGTAGCCTTGGACTACAGCGCTCACACCCACCAAGAAAATGAGACTGTACCTGAACACGTACAAAGAACAGTTCCAGTAGTAACTGCAGTAAACGGGGATACCATTCTTGGTACTAAATGGTACCATTAGTTCTCTCCCCAGATGTTTGACTTAAGTTAAATGGTCTTAATGGGTACTTACACAGCAGGTAACGTACAAAGGTACTTACACAGCAGGTAACGTACAACGGCACTTACACAGCAGGTAACGTACAAAGGTACTTACACAGCAGGTAACGTACAACGGCACTTACACAGCAGGTAACGTACAACGGCACTTACACAGCAGGTAACGTACAACGGTACTTACACAGCAGGTAACGTACAACGGCACTTACACAGCAGGTAACGTACAACGGTACTTACACAGCAGGTAACGTACAACGGCACTTACACAGCAGGTAACGTACAACGGCACTTACACAGCAGGTAACGTACAACGGCACTTACACAGCAGGTAACGTACAACGGCACTTACACAGCAGGTAACGTACAACGGTACTTACACAGCAGGTAACGTACAACGGCACTTACACAGCAGGTAACGTACAACGGTACTTACACAGCAGGTAACGTACAACGGCACTTACACAGCAGGTAACGTACAACGGCACTTACACAGCAGGTAACGTACAACGGCACTTACACAGCAGGTAACGTACAACGGCACTTACACAGCAGGTAACGTACAACGGCACTTACACAGCAGGTAACGTACAACGGCACTTACACAGCAGGTAACGTACAACGGCACTTACACAGCAGGTAACGTACAACGGCACTTACACAGCAGGTAACGTACAACGGCACTTACACAGCAGGTAACGTACAAAGGTATTTACACAGCAGGTAACGTACAAAGGTACTTACACAGCAGGTAACGTACAACGGCACTTACACAGCAGGTAACGTACAAAGGTACTTACACAGCAGGTAACGTACAAAGGTACTTACACAGCAGGTAACGTACAAAGGTACTTACACAGCAGGTAACGTACAAAGGTATTTACACAGCAGGTAACGTACAAAGGTACTTACACAGCAGGTAACGTACAACGGCACTTACACAGCAGGTAACGTACAAAGGTACTTACACAGCAGGTAACGTACAACGGCACTTACACAGCAGGTAACGTACAAAGGTATTTGCACAGCAGGTAACGTACAAAGGTACTTACACAGCAGGTAACGTACAACGGTACTTACACAGCAGGTAACGTACAAAGGTATTTACACAGCAGGTAACGTACAACGGTACTTACACAGCAGGTAACGTACAACGGTACTTACACAGCAGGTAACGTACAAAGGTATTTACACAGCAGGTAACGTACAAAGGTCCTTACACAGCAGGTAACGTACAGAGGTACTTACACAGCAGGTAACGTACAAAGGTCTAATTAAGCAAATAAACAAATATACTTACACGGCAAGTAACATACAAAGGTACTTACACGGCAAGTAACATACAAAGGTACTTACACGGCAAGTAACATACAAATGTACATACACAGCAGGTAACATACAAAGGTACATACACAGCAAGTAACATACAAAGGTACATACACAGCAAGTAACATACAAAGGTACATACACAACATACAAAGGTACATACACAACATACAAAGGTACATACACAACATACAAAGGTACATGCACAACATACAAAGGTACATACACAACATACAAAGGTACATACACAACATACAAAGGTACATACACAACATAGAAAGGTACATACACAACATACAAAGGTACATACACAACATACAAAGGTACATACACATCATACAAAGGTACATACACAACATACAAAGGTACATACACAACATACAAAGGTACATACACATCATACAAAGGTACATACACAGCAAGTAACATACAAAGGTACATACACAACATACAAAGGTACATACACAACATACAAAGGTACATACACAGCAAGTAACATACAAAGGTACATACACAACATACAAAGGTACATACACAGCAAGTAACATACAAAGGTACATACACAGCAAGTAACATACAAAGGTACATACACAACATACAAAGGTACATACACAACATACAAAGGTACATACACAGCAAGTAACATACAAAGGTACATACACAACATACAAAGGTACATACACAACATACAAAGGTACATACACAACATACAAAGGTACATACACAAACATACAAAGGTACATACAAACATACAAAGGTAATCACAAATACAAAGGTACATACACACATCAAAGGTACATACACAACATACAAAGGTACATACACAACATACAAAGGTACATACACAACATACAAAGGTACATACACAACATACAAAGGTACATACACAACATACAAAGGTACATACACAACATACAAAGGTACATACACAACATACAAAGGTACATACACAACATACAAAGGTACATACACATCACGCAACATTCATAAAAAATTCCCACAATATATATTCAAGTTTATATAAGTATTAGGCTGTAACATAGGCCTGTTAGGCCGTACAGTCATGATGTTCGCACCTAACTCACTACACAAACCATAATTAATAATAATCATTATCAGAACGACTCTCGTAAATGATCCTGTTAGATCAGAATGTTCTCAGTCTCCATAAATCATTCATTATTATTATCCTACTTTATTTCTAAGATTAAATTACGTTTAAAATGCCTCTAAATTACTTATATAAATCTAAAATATATTTAAAATGTGTATGAATATCTAGTATATTATCTAAATTATTTTCTGACGTTCATCAAAGATAATTATCTTTAAGAAGTCATTGGTAATATTTTTAATCTCGAAATAGTTAGATTCTAATCTACTCACTTGATCATGATGATGTAAGTAATAGTAGTAGTGATAGTAGTAGCAGGAGTAGTAGTGATAGTAGTAGCAGGAGTAGTAGTGATAGTAGTAGCAGGAGTAGTAGTGATAGTAGTAGCAGGAGTAGTAGTGATAGTAGTAGCAGGAGTAGTAGTGATAGTAGTAGCAGGAGTAGTAGTGATAGTAGTAGCAGGAGTAGTAGTGATAGTAGTAGCAGGAGTAGTAGTGATAGTAGTAGCAGGAGTAGTAGTGATAGTAGTAGCAGGAGTAGTAGTGATAGTAGTAGCAGGAGTAGTAGTGATAGTAGTAGCAGGAGTAGTAGTGATAGTAGTAGCAGGAGTAGTAGTGATAGTAGTAGCAGGAGTAGTAGTGATAGTAGTAGCAGGAGTAGTAGTGATAGTAGTAGCAGTAGTAGTATTAGTAAAAACAGCAGCAGTAGTTGATCACAGGTATTCACTGCTGGAGTGTTGTGGACGGCTGCTCGCTCTTCAGTGAGTCTCTGGTCATGATGCTCGCCTTATATACCTACTGACGACCACTGTCTCGTGGTAGGTGGTGGGGAACCCCAGCCCCCACACTACCACTGATGACCACTGTCTTCTGGTAGGTGGTGGGGAACCCCAGCCTTCACACTACCACTGTAGACCACTGTCTTCTGGTAGGTGGTGGGGAACCCCAGCCCTCACACTACCACTGATGACCACTGTCTTCTGGTAGGTGGTGGGGAACCCAAGCCTTCACACTACCACTGTAGACCACTGTCTCGTGGTAGGTGGTGGGGAACCCCAGCCCCCACACTACCACTGATGACCACTGTCTTCTGGTAGGTGGTGGGGAACCCAAGCCTTCACACTACCACTGTAGACCACTGTCTTCTGGTAGGTGGTGGGGAACCCCAGCCCTCACACTACCACTTTAGACCACTTCTCCTGGTAGGTGGTGGGGAACCTCCCCTCACACTACCACTGTAGACCACTGTCTCCTGGTAAGTGGTGGGGAACCCCCCGTCACACTACCACTGAAGACCACTGTCCTGGTAAGTGGTGTGTAACCCAAGCCCTCACACTACCACTGTAGACCACTGTCCTGGTAAGTGGTGGGTAACCCCAGCCCTCACACTACCACTGTAGACCACACACACACACACACACACACACACACACACACACACACACACACACACGTGGCGAGGTGTCAGAGTGGGCACCTGTGACCAGCGGGGTCCCGCAGGGGTCAGTCCTAGGACCAGTGCTGTTTCTGGTATTTGTGAACGACATGACGGAAGGAATAGACTCTGAGGTGTCCCTGTTTGCAGATGACGTGAAGTTGATGAGAAGAATACACTCGATCGAAGACCAGGCAGAACTACAAAGGGATCTGGACAGGCTGCAGAACTGGTCCAGCAATTGGCTCCTGGAGTTCAATCCCACCAAGTGCAAAGTCATGAAGATTGGGGAAGGGCAAAGAAGGCCGCAGACGGAGTACAGTCTAGGGGGTCAGAGACTACAAACCTCACTCAAGGAAAAAGATCTTGGGGTGAGTATAACACCAGGCACATCTCCTGAAGCGCACATCAACCAAATAACTGCTGCAGCATATGGGGGCCTAGCAAACCTCAGAACAGCATTCCGACATCTTAATAAGGAATCGTTCAGGACCCTGTACACCGTATACGTTAGGCCCATATTGGAGTATGCGGCACCAGTTTGGAACCCACACCTAGCCAAGCACGTAAAGAAACTAGAGAAAGTGCAAAGGTTTGCAACAAGACTAGTCCCAGAGCTAAGAGGTATGTCCTACGAGGAGAGGTTAAGGGAAATCAACCTGACGACACTGGAGGACAGGAGAGATAGGGGGGACATGATGACAACATACAAAATACTGAGAGGAATTGACAAGGTGGACAAAGACAGGATGTTCCAGAGATTGGACACAGTAACAAGGGGACACAGTTGGAAGCTAAAGACACAGATGAATCACAGGGATGTTAGGAAGTATTTCTTCAGCCACAGAGTAGTCAGTAAGTGGAATAGTTTGGGAAGCGATGTAGTGGAGGCAGGATCCATACATAGCTTTAAGCAGAGGTATGATAAAGCTCACGGCTCAGGGAGAGTGACCTAGTAGCGATCAGTGAAGAGGCGGGGCCAGGAGCTCGGACTCGACCCCCGCAACCTCAACTAGGTGAGTACAACTAGGTGAGTACACACGCACACACACACACACATACACGCACACGCACACACACACACACACACACACACACACACACACACACACACACACACACACACACACACACACACACACACACACACACGCCAGGAGCTAGGACTCGACCCCTGCAACCACAAATAGGTGAGTACACACAAGAGATTAGTGCAAAAACTGGAGGACCAAGCAAGGATAACAGGGAAGGCACTACAATGGATCAGGGAATACTTGTCAGGAAGACAGCAGCGAGTCATGGTACGTGGGGAGGTGTCAGAGTGGGCACCTGTGACCAGCGGGGTCCCGCAGGGGTCAGTCCTAGGACCAGTGCTGTTTCTGCTATTTGTGAACGACATGACGAAAGGAATAGACTCCGAAGTGTCCCTGTTTGCAGATGACGTGAAGTTGAGGAGAAGAATTCATTCGATCGAAGACCAGGCAGAACTACAAAGGGATCTGGACAGGCTGCAGACCTGGTCCAGCAATTGGCTCATGGAGTTCAACCCCACCAAGTGCAAAGTCATGAAGATTGGTTGGGACTCGCAGGAATCAGGGATCAGATGACAATGGTACTGGTAGGGAGGAATGGATGGAGGAACAGTGGAAAAGGATAGAGCAAGAATGGGAGAGAAAATTAGGAGAGCTTTCTGAAAAAATGGAGAAAGAGCTCTCTGTGAAATGGGAAAAGAGGTTGGAGAAGGAGACGAGGAATTGGGAGGCACAAGTCGAAACTGCAATAGCCAGGGTAAAGGTTCTAGAATTTGAGGTAAACAGGCTGAAGCAAGTCTCAGGGGTAGTAACCAGAGAAGACATACCATACGAAGCTGAGAGGCTGAACAGGAAGGAAGGAGATTTGAATTATGCTAAGGTCATATCAGCCTGCAAAAAAGGGGCCAGGAGTGAAAGGGAAGAGCAGATGGGTGCAGATGGAGAGGGGAGATAGGTCGAATGCTGAGGCAAAACCATGCTACCAAGAGCCACTGGAAAAATCAAGGGAGAAAATGACCACATACAGACAGGAACCAGAGTCACAGAGGGAGAGGAAAATGGGAGGAGGAAAGGTCAAAATCAGTGATTATCCATGGGCTTCGGGAGAGAGAGGAAAGGACACACTGAAAGACGACAGGAAGAAAGAAAGGAGATTGAGAAAATCATCACGGAAATAGGGGGAGAAGACATGGATGAGATTGTAAATTTCAGAGAATAGGGGGTACTTGAAGGGGAGAAACCGACCGATCAAGCTGATTCTCAGGACAGAAACAGTGCGGAACAGGATCCTCCAAGAGAAACCACGGTTGAAAAGCTCGGAAGAGTACAAGAAGGTGTTCCTAGACAGAGACAGAACACGAACAGAGAGACAGCAGCTGAGGGAGAGGACAAAAAAGCGAAAGGAGCTAGGAAAGGAGACAAGGATGGAACCAGCAGAGGTCCAGTCTAGCAGAACAGAGCAGCAAGGGCAAGCACACACACAACTATCCTCAGAACCCCACAACCTATCACACCATCCCAACACACAATACAATCCATACCCACAGCTTCCACCCAACCCCCAACCATAGAATCCCACAGTATGCTACCAGGTCTCCCACCCCCACAGGCCCCCCCAAACCACAGTGTTGGAAAGGAAACTGAAGGTATGGTACTCAAACGCTGATGGAATAACAAACAAGTGGGAGGAGTGGCACGAAAGAGTCAAAGAGGCATCACCAGACATCATAGCGATCACAGAAACCAAGCTTACAGGTATGATAACAGATGCCATCTTTCCAGGGGATACCAGATCCTGAGAAAAGACAGAAGGAACAAGGGGGGTGGAGGAGTGGCATTGCTGATCAAACACCGATGGAATTTTGATGAGCTGGAGAGAGGAGACAGCGGAAAGGAAAGTGATTACATAGCGGGAACGCTTCACTCTGGTGGTCCCAAGGTGATAATTGCAGTGATGTATAACCCACCACAGAACAGCAGGAGGCCAAGGCAAGAGTATGACGAGAGCAATAGAGCGATGGTTGACACACTGGCTGCAGTGGCCAGAAGAGCTCATGCATGCAGGGCAAAGCTACTGATCATGGGTGACTTTAACCACAAGGAGATCGACTGGGAGAACTTGGAGCCACATGGGGGCCAAGATACATGGAGGGCTAAGATGATGGAGGTGGTATTGGAAAACTTCATGTACCAACACGTGAGGGACACTACAAGAGAGAGAGGAGAGGATGAACCAGCAAGACTGGACTTAGTATTCACCTTGAGTAGTGCAGATATTGAGGACATCACATATGAAAGACCCCTTGGGGCCAGCGATCATGTGGTTTTGAGCTTCGAATACACAGTAGAGCTACAAGTGGAGGGGGAAGCAGGAAGGCCAGGACGAATGAAACCAAACTACAGGAAAGGGGACTACACAGGAATGAGGAACTTCCTGAATGAGGTTCAGTGGGACAGAGAACTGGCAGGGAAGCCAGTTAATGAAATGATGGAATATGTAGCAACAATGTGCAAGGAGGCTGAGGAGAGGTTTATACCCAAGGGTAACAGGAATAATGAAAAAGCCAGGATGAGCCCATGGTTCACCCAAAGATGCAAGGAGGCAAAAACCAAGTGTGCTAGGGAATGGAAGAAATATAGAAGGCAAAGGACCCAGGAGAATAAGGAGAGCAGTCGTAGAGCCAGAAACGAATATGCTCAGATAAGAAGGGAGGCCCAGCGTCAGTATGAAAACGACATAGCAGCAAAAGCCAAATCTGACCCAAAGCTGTTATACAGCCACATCAGGAAAGAAAACAACCGTCAAGGACCAGGTAATCAGGCAAAGGGAAGGGAAGGAGGAGAGACAACAAGAAATGACCGTGAAGTATGTGAGGAACTCAACAAGAGATTCAAAGAAGTGTTCACAGAGGAGACAGAAGGGGCTCCAGAAAGACGGAGAGGTGGGGCACACCACCAAGTGCTGGACATAGTACACACAACCGAGGAAGAAGTGAAGAGGCTTCTGAGTGAGCTAGATACCTCAAAGGCAATGGGGCCAGATAGCATCTCCCCATGGGTCCTGAGAGAGGGAGCAGAGGCGCTATGTGTACCCCTAACAACAATATTCAAATACAACTATCGAAACAGGGAGATTGCCTGAGGCATGGAAGAAAAAAGAAATGTGGTCCCAATCTTTAAAAAGGAGACAGACATGAAGCACTAAACTACAGACCAGTGTCACTGACATGTATAGCATGCAAAATCATGGAAAAGATTGTCAGGAGAAGAGTGGTGGAACATCTAGAAGGAATGATCTCA